GGATAGCCGCGCTGGGTCGCGGAGCTGCCTTGGGATGCGTTAGCCGGCGGATCGCACAGAAATATTTCCCCTAGGAAGGAGAGAGGCAGCCTCCTCCCACTGACCGGGGGTGGGGGGCAGAAGAAAAAGAGGATTTAAAGAGCGTCTTTGCCCCCTTTGTTGAATGAGAAGGACAGAGGAGGACCGGCAAGATGAGCACTAGCAGTAAGTACGGCTTTCCCTTGCCTTTGCTGTGGGAATGGGGCTGGTATTGCACTGATCTGGCTGGGAGGAGTTGGAAAGAAAATGTCACAACAGGGTTGACAAGCCTAATGGGATGGATTTTTTTTTTTTATTTTCCTGCTTGCCTCTTGCTTTCTGACAGGGTCTGGCTTTGCTGGCCCTTCTTTCATGTGGGCTAAGCCATGGTGCTTATCTCCACCGAGTACTTTTCTTGGCTTGTATTTCTGGGGTTTGGAGGGCAAATCATGGACTAAAATGTTGATATGCAACATGGTGAGAGGGAGCCAGGAGCACTCTGACAGGCAGCAGTCTCACTTGCTGATGCTACTACCTACATATAAATGGACATAGGGGGAACAGCTGATGGGGAGGAGGAGCAGGGTAAGGAGAGACCCAGAAACCAGGGACCTGAGCAAAGCACAGGTGCAATACTGAAGAACGTGTACCTTCTGCAGCTGGGGATGTGGGTGTTTCTATTGTGCATGTGTAAGAGACAGGGACAGAGGCACTCATGCACTATGTATGAATTTCTAAAGAAGCAGAGCTTGGAAATGTGCTGCATAAGATGACAACCAGCACCTGGTATTAGTCTGGTTACTTCTGGTTTTGTGTCCTTGTTGCAAAGTCTGGAAAAACTGATCAGGTTTGATCAAGCCACAATCAATTTCTTTTTCCTCACTGTGACAGCTGTACCCACCTCACTAGCACGGCTTTGGTCCATTCTTTTAAAAGCAGTGAGCCCCCAGCCAAAGGAGTTGATGCTGATGGCCACCTGAGGGTCTTCCTTCTGGGATAACCTGCCCAAGGAAGGTGCCCTCCCTCCTGTGGATCCTAGAGGCTATGTGAAGAAAGGAGGACTCCCCCAGGGAGAAAGCGGCAGAGCAGTGACTTTTCCATTGCTTGTTGAGGTTTCTCAATCCAAGGGCTTGGGGTGGTTCCCAAGCAAAACACTGTGAAAAATGCCTTGGCATGCTGCAGGGCAACAGAACAGGTGATTCCAGCTCTGTTGGGCTGTGTCAGAGGCAAGAAAACTTTCCAGGTGCCCTCTGCACAAGCCACACCTGGGACAGGAGCTAGCCCCTTCCTGGGGGAGTGGGGCTGGTGGTGCCCAGGTAGGAAACAATAGTGAGCGATTCCTACCGAGCCATGCTGGATGCCTGATAACAAAGGGTCCTCCCTCTGTCTCTCTGGGTGATGAGCTCGGCTCCGGTGCGGAGGGCTGTGATGGCACACAGTGCTCACTGGTGTCAGTGACCACAGTGGTCAGGTGGGACTGTTAAGCTTCCTCTAAGCCGAATTTGACAAAGGAGTGTTGGTTCCTTTTGGGATTCCTTTCCAGCTCTTAATAGCCAGCTTGGCTGCTGATAGTGATAAGGGCTGCTTATGGCACTGGTGTGTTATAACTATCTGATTGTGCCGCAAAACTCCTTTACTGGGTCCTCCCCCACATAGAGAGAGGTGCCAGCAAACCAAATACGCTGCCTGCCTGTTGCTCTGACATGACTCATGGGAGGAGGCCACCGGGCAGGCAGCGAGCGCAGAGCTGGGAGTCTCCTGAGAGGTGCTCCTCCTTCTGCCACTGCCTTGCTCTGTGACCTTGGGCACATCACTTGGCTGTGCCTCAGTGTCTGGATTTGCCAGCAGCAGGCTGCCACTGTGGCTCCTGCCCAGCCCTTTGGATGGCTTGCAATCTTTGCCTAAATATTGCCATTACCTCTTTCTAAGCAGCCTTGTGTTTTAGTAAAGATTTGGGAACTTTGTAACATCTGCTAATCACTTCCTATGCTGTGGGTTAATTACTTATGGATTACTTATAGTCCCTTTGGGACCACACCTGGTACAAGGGCTGTGCAAATCATGCAAGGCAGTGGGCTCTGCCCTGTTAGGCTTCCAGACTTTTTCCCAGTAGCTGAGGGACTCAAAGCAGGGCTTGCCGTACCCAAATGCTGGCTCATGTCTGTTCTTAGCAATGGTACAATCCTCTCCTAGTTGGTTCTGTCAGCAAGGCATGCGGTACGGGGCCATCTCGTCCATCAGCATGTCCTGTGACTGGTGTGAATGTTGCCAAAAGCTGTCTCTCCCCTCTTGCTGCTGCCTCGCCCAGCTCTGCGCATCCCTACCCAGCCTATATCCCTCAGGTCCATGTGCCTGTGAGGCAAAAAAAGGAGCCTGGGAGCCTTGTGTCAGTCTCCATGCCATCTCTATTTCACTCCACTGACGCTACCTGGCAGTGACCTGCAATGGCTTTTGCAGCCCTTTGCTAGCAGCCAGTGGCTCAGGGGAGCTTGGTGCCACTCGTTGGTCAGAGGCTTCCCAACCCTGCTTGCAGCTCTGCCTCCGAGGCATGGCCAGCTCTGCTGCTCTCTGCGTTGATTTTGTTTGCTTGTTTTCCCCCAGCCCCTGTAGTGACCGAGGGCTCGGATGTGGTGGGATCCAGCCAGCAGACTTGGCTGCACTCCAGCCTCCCCAATCTGGTGTCGCTCCTGGTGCACAGGACCCTACCTGTGCAGATGTGAGGAGAGAGGGAGACATAGGAAGAGGAGGAGGAGGATGGATGAAGCCAGACTGTGCATGGGGTGATGACGTACAGGTGTACCTGTGGCTGCAGGACCAAAATTTTGGGACTGGCAAACCAGAGATGCGCAGCTGAGGATAAAATACCGCCATGTAATCTGTGAATTCCCACCACTCCTTTCCATTTTACTTGGTGCATTTTGATAACACTTCTATCCTGTCTGAAGCTGATGTGAGGCAGGAAACCTGGGGCTGTGGGCCACGGCTGGCCTCAAGCCATGCTGTTGTGCAAAACTATCTGAGGCCTCCGGGGAGCTCTGTGCGGTATTTGCTGGGCTGTACAGGTGTATCTCTGAAGATGCTTTGTGCACAGCACACAGGAGTCTCGCCTGCCCTTGCTGAGGGGACAGGGGTTCGCTTTTCACCCTGGTATGGGTCCCAGGGTTGGAGGCCTCATGTCATCATCTCTCCCATGATGCAGGGAAGGCAAAACCATATGGAAATCTTGCTTTTAAGGTGAAGAGGAAAAGGCCCTTGATCTTGGGTGTAAACTCATATCCTGAGGCTGCAAAGCAGACCAGGTGGCCCTGAGGGTGCAAGGGTTGTGCTGGCTGGGAAGGTGGCCTCTCCTCTTGGGCTCACCAGGTGTGCAGCGAGCATTTGGAGGGCACAGTGTTGATATTTACATTAGCTATGCTATTTGTACCTCCCACTCTGGTTAGCACTGCTAATTGGTTGCAAATGGATTCATACATTCATAAACAGGTCTATCAGTGCTGCTCTGCATTTCCATTGAAGCTGGATCCTGTAGTACAAACCCTTGCCCAAGAGAACATCCCTCAAAATCACCCCCTGAAATCCCCTACATTCTGGGCTCAACTTCTCCCTCAGAAACTGGCCTGGTGCAGGGAGTTTAACGTAACCAATGCTGTGTTTGTGCTCATTAAAAGGCAAAGGGTTGAAGCTGTCAACTGCCCCAGGGATTTAAGACTCTCTGAAATGATTGTGAATAATCCCTTCTGCTGCTTTGAAGATAGCCATCAGGTTTGGGTGCTGCAGGTCCATGCAGTGAGTATGGTCTGTGAGTAGGGGTCGCCCCAGTGGGACCCATGGGCATTTGCACATTGTCTCTTTTGGTCCCGCTCTGTTGGTGGGAGGGGGGCTGCTGGAAGTCTTGGCACTGGTCTTGTCAGGAGCAAGGTGCCCCTTGTTGTTATGGGCCACCCTGGTCTGAGCAAAGACATGCACAACTCCTGGGGGAGGTGAAACCCCAGCGAACTCCTGGGTTGAACCAGGTTTGGCAGGCTCTGGGTCAGTGTTGCAATGGGTAATTGAAACTAGTTCACAAACTAGAGATCTTCCAGACTCCCTTCTGTCTCCAACATGCACCCTGAAGAGGGAGACCAGGCTCTGTCCCCATGGCAAGTTAATTCAGGGTGGGGGGGATCAGTACCACCTATCCCCCCTCCTCTTTCCTCTGAGCAGCTGACAGCCTGTCAGAGCATGGAGAGCTCTTGCAGAGGGTTTGGTATGCGAAGTGGAAAGTTTCCCGAGACCATCCCAACCCCTGGCACCTCTCAAATTCCTGCTTGGAGGCACCCCTAGTCTCAGAAAGCTGGGGAAGGAGACAAGAGGAAAGGCTGGCCAGCTAAGCATTTGGGCAGGAAGGCTTCATGACAGATACTGATGAATGCAGCATGTTTGCTTGGTTATTTTTGTCTTTCCTAAATCATGCTCCCTGCTACATGGTGATCCACTAAGCATAATTATCCAGTAATCTCTAGGCACATGTGGTTACAAGGTGTTTACCAGCAAACTCTATTAAGCCCCTGTGTAATTAAAGAGGAATCACATGGTGCTGCACATCTCTGGGAGCTCCAGCTCTGCTCTGTACAGCTCATCAGGCAGGGTGATTCACCAGGTCTCCCCACCCAGTGGGGTAGGACCTGCTGAGGAGGACATGATGTTTCTCCTGTGTTCAGAAGTGCAGTGAACCCAGAGGGATCAGCCTGTTGGTGCTATGAGCAGTGTTAGTGTCTTCCTTGTGAGGAGGCTCTAATTTTTGCAGGGGTGACACCAGGCTTGGGGGGGTTATGGTACAGATGAGCCTTTTCAGTTGTAGCACTCATGGTTCCTGGTCAACACTGCTTCCTGTCTCATCTTTGCAATGCTGGAGGCTGCCACAGGCATGCAGTGAGCTGGGGACAAAGCACAGCTCCAGTGAGGGAGGACCCAGCAGAAGGAGCACCACTAGAGCAGTGGTGCTGCTGCCTAGTCCCTGGGTGCTTGGTGAGATGGGCTCTGTCTCTGGGTAAGCCCTCATGCTCCTCACCCCTGCTCCCCCAAGAGCTGCTGGACAGGCTCTTCACATGCAGTGGGGAAAGAGGCAGGTCTCCAAGCAGAGCTCTTCCTTCTCTGGCAGGTTATTGTGGAAGATGCTTGTAGGAGGAGGAGAGCTTTCAGAAAGG